CAACATATTTAAACTGTCATTTAATTAGCACAGTTATATGTCTCTGGAACTATGACTCATATAAAATATCCAACTATGTCACCTAACTTTACCCTACATCACAGGGGAATCCAGACTTATGAAAACTAATCATAGCAGGAGGGTTAGGATTAGGGTTAGGGTTAGGAGGGCACCCTCAACCCCTTCCCTGTGAGTAGACAAGGATTTAGCATGGTAAATTTTCCATAATAGCCCTTTCCTTCTCAAGGGTTGAAAAATAATCCCTTGTCACCTCTGATTCTTAGATTTCTACTGTCACATTTTGTGAGTTTGAAGACACCTGGGTTATTAGGAAAGCCATATATCCATGTGGATTCATGTGGCCAGGAAGCATGACCTATGAGATTGCGTGTGGTACATAGCCCTTGCCTCTCAGGCTCTCTCTGTGCTGAAGTATTGCTCCTGGAAGGTTGAAGATTTTAATCTGAGAGCATGAGCAAACCTGAGGCCAATAACCTAAGCCAATGGCAGACAACTGTGGTCATGTACAGGAAGTGAAGAGACTTCTTTTCCCTTTATTATCCCACCCAGGTTATACTGGTTGTTGTCAAGCACATACAAAATGAGTCATTTGCCATGTGCTATAAACCACTAAGAAGTGTGGGGCTTTAAAAATGGGTTGGAATATTCATACTTATCATGAGAAACACCACAAGTAATCATCACAAAATGCTAATCTTTATTTTGGTAAGAATTACATTCACAGATATTCTTCACAGGTAATAACTATTTTCTGATTTTCTTAAAACTTTGCAGGAGAAAAAGGAAATATTTTACGAAAAAAACTCTTATCAAGTTATTTCCTTAGAAAGAAAAGATTCACAAAATCATCTGTACATGGAATGAAATCTTTCCAGTATTCTGCAGCTTGTCATAATTAAGAGTATTACATCATACTCATGGAATTAAAGGAATAATTTGTATCTTAAAAAAATCAAATATGCTCAAATCTTATTTTTAAATGGAAAAATTAGTCACAAAGTATCTATTGGGAGATGTTCTCTTTTCCTGTGCATTTTCTCCTTCCCCCATTCTGCTTGAGTATAGCCCTCAGGTGCTCTATCTAGTGATTTTCATGGTCTATTCACCTTTTAGAACTCTTTCTGTATGCTCACACAGCTACGCATGCAGTCAGTACTCTCCTGAGTCCTAGGTACCTTAGAAGCTCCTCTCCCTTTAGAAAGGTGAAACTGCCAAAGTTCCAGTCCTTCTGAGGCTGAATGACACCACTCAACTGAAATTATAACCCTGAAACTCTATTATAGTGATGACATTAAAAGATATATTACAGAAAAACTGTTATGTCTCATCCTAGCCCTAATGGCTAACCACTCACCTTGGTTTCTGCCAATTTAAAATTTCCATTTTATCCTCTTGTCTGGGGGACACATGACAAGCAGTAAGACCAGATTGGACCACATCAATACAGTAAGAAAAAAAATCCAGGAAAACAAAGACACAAAATGCCCACAGTACTGTTCACATTTCCAAACAGGATTGCACTGCTCTCCTGATAGAGCTGCTCAGGAGAAACAGGTGAATACAGCTCTCTAAACTGGAGACAGCTGGGTAAGGCTCATGTTCTACATGGGATAGCATGAAGGAATGACACAAAAGTGCTATTTGAGTTTCAAAATTAAAACGACTTGATCCACCTATGAGTAAATGACAACAAAATGCATTGAATATGTGAATAAAGAAACCTGCTATTGTAAACCTCATCACTAAGCATTAGATTTTTTCAACCTGCTGAATACAAATGCCTTGAACTTTTTTCCAGGTCTAACAGAAAGACAAATTTATAATACAACACTAAACATCACACATACCTCACTGCATGCAGGACACTCTGAATCACTAGTTGTTCATCCATGGTGTCCTTTTCCTGAGACTAAAGACTCATCTCTGCATCACTGACATGAGCATATAAACTTTGCATTGTGCCATGAATCACTAGTAGAAACTTCGTGTCAACTTAAAAATTCAATATAATTTAAACTGCAAACATTTTCTCCTCATTATCTAAAGACCCTGTGCACTGTAGTAAAGATAATTTGGGATGGACATAAACCCTAAAAGTGCATTTCTTATTGAAAAAGCTCTTGCTCAGTTATCCAGGGTAGCCTTGGTTTTTAAAATCTCTCATGCTTCCATGGGGCTGGCATTAATTCATGCACCACCATGGCTCAGTGCTGTTTATTTTGCCCCAACACTGAAACCTTGGTGAAATGTGGTGACATAAAAATGAAAAGACTGATCCAATCATGCCAGTGCATTCCAGAAACCCTAGAACTACAGTGGATGATGCATGAGACTGAGAGTTAAGGACAGTGTGAACTACAGAAGGAGACCCAGTGCTCTCCATCAAAGCAGAGGCTCAACAGTATAACTAACAAGGTCGCACATGTCTGTCAACATGTCACAGGCTGCTGAGCTAGTTAGAATTATCACAGGCAGCCAGACAGGGCTAGGCACTCTAAGGGGCTGCCACAAAGGACCAGATGTCTGGTGACTTTGGAGGAGACACACCTCTTGCTGTGGGCCAGATTTCAAAACAGAAGTAAAAAGAAATGCAACCACACCCTTAAGTGTAATTCTTAGGGATTACACATGGATCACCTTGAGAAGCCCAGAGTCACCATTCCAGTTGCCTACAGGAAGAGTCACACTGATCCATAAACAATGCTTGCTTGCTATCTGACTGACTTCCCCATTTGTTCCAGATTTATTCAATTTTATCTGGACAATTAAACTTATTGGTTGACCTTTTCCCACCTCTTGTCTGCCTGTCTTGTGAGTTCTCCTTTTTCTGTCTTTAGACTGGCCTCACCTCATGGACTTAATCTATATATATTCCTAGAAAACACACAGTCTTTGGTAACCCAGTTGGGACCCCTTCGGTCTCTCTGTCAGACAGATCCCTTTTTTCTCTCAAATAAATATATCTGATTTTAACCTCTGTTGTTCATAAAATTCATTTTTAAGGTTCAGAGAACAAGAACTTGTACTGAACATAAAACAGCTTGAGAGTTTCATTCCCCTATATCAAGCCCAACAGTCAAAGTGGTGGAAAAGTCTCAACACTTCTTGCCACCTTGGGCAAAGTAGTATGACCTCAACTGAAAAGGCAAAAGAAAGATTTTTTAAAAATTACTTTTTTTTTCAAATTTGGAAGGATGTAAATAAGGGCCAAATTTCTGAGGTTAGTCACTGGACAATAAGAGAAACGTCATGTATACCTTGAAATCTTTGGTGTCCAATTGAAAATCTTTCCCATGATACTTTAGCTGTGATGTCCAAACTTCCTATGCTAGTGTTCTAATTTCCTGTCTAACCTCAGAGATGATTAGGGGAGCTGATCTGTAGACACAGAAGAAGTATTTATCCATCACAAAGTTTCCCTACTTTCTGTAGGCCGGTGGCACTTTTCCTCAGACCTAACAAGCAGAAAATCTTTCAGTGCTGTCACACTAGCTCAAGTTCACCTCAGAAGTCCTTTACTGTTCTAATGCTAATTGGGCCTCCCTTCACATGCCAATGCCCTTCCATTTCCTTTTTGCCACCTTGACTTTTCTCATTCAAAAAGTACTTTCATTCCTATTCTTTAATACTCATGCAGAGCCTGAATATACCCCTACTTCAGGAAAAAGTTGACCTCAGAGTTGCAAATTTTTCACTGTCTTTGAAACAGGGCCTCACAATGCAGTACAGTACAGTCGCTGAGCTCACTTCATAGACAAGGTTTGCCTTAAATAAATTTACAAGAATCCTCCTGTATCAGGATTGCTGAGTGCTAGGATTAAGGTGATATGCCAGCATGCCATGCTCTGTGTTTCAAATTTCAGGTTAAAGTCTAAGCACAGCTCTAAAGCTACAGCCATTCTTTCATAGGAGCCACATTTCCCTTTCCATTCTCACATTAATCACATCTCTATATCCCTGTTATCACCAGTTAACTGTTTTTTCCAGTGTTGTATTAACATGCACCTCCAACAGGAAGTTGTTCTCTGCAAGAACTTTCCCCTCAGGGTGTAAGGCATCACCATCCCCCAAATACTTCACAGCATTCCAAACTCTATGAAAGGCCTTGCTTCAGTAGTTCAATTGTAAAAAAGTGTTTATTTACTTAGCTTATAAATCAGGCACTAGCAAAGGAAAGGGCCCCTTTTAAAGTTGTAAAATTAGTGGCTTTGATAAGAATTACAATGAGAATAGCCAATGACCTCCGGCTTGGAACAAACAATGAATTTTCTCCCCCATAATAAAATGCAAATTTCCCTCTGCTATGGTGACTTGCTGTTGCTAATTATTACACTTCTGAGATAACAGAAATGTAAATAGAAACAGCCAGTTTATTTCTAAACCCTGTTTTCTGTAGACGCCACAGGCTGAAGAAATGGATTAGAGAAACGGCTCAAAATTGTTCTTTTTTCTGGGTGCAGTTACAAAGGCATATAATCTCTGCGCACTGGAGGCTGATAGAGGAGCATGGCCAAAGTCCAAGGCCAGGTCAGACTACACAGATATGCTCTGTATCCAAATAAAATAAAATAAAATAGAAAAGGAAAGATAGATAATAGATATGTGAAGATCTGTTTTAAATCCACAGAACCACGTGTAGCTGCTGGCCAGCTGACTACCCATGTGGGAAGCATTCTGAATGCTAAGGATCTCTTCTAATTTCATATTTTGGTTCAAGAACTCTACACTGAGTGTGGTGAGATTGTGAATTTTGTTTATGCGGTAACATCATTGCGAGCAGAGATCTCACAGAAGGAATTCAGATGATAATTTTTTCTCACTCTGAGCTCAGAACTCAGATTTGCTCCAAATGATTACACACCTCAAACACAGCATTGCCTGGGGCTGCTCAAAAAGACCGCGGCTTACAGTGGTTCTGCCTATTCTCTTCCAAAACTCACAGTTGTATCCCATTCCCAACGCCAGTACCATCAACTTACCATTGTGATGCTTGAGGGCGTCTGAGAATCCTTTGCAGAATTCAGGAAGAAGTCACAGAAACTAGATATGCAGCCAACTCCACGCTCTCAGCAACAAACTCAACAGTAAGCACTTCCGCACCTGGAGAGGGAAGAGCCCTCCTCCCTTCGCTCACCTGATTGGGTGTGCAGCCAGCCCCAACATTATTAATGATTGGCTCCTGGGCCCATCTCTCTACTGTGATGTCACCCTCATCCGCCAGGATTCCTACTTCCCTTTAAGGGCTTTAGGGAGCTGTTCAGGGATTCCTTAAGGGCTCAGTGCACTTTCCTGAAGCTGGGTCCTAAATGTTCCCAGGTGAATGTCCTCTGGAAGAACCAATCCATTGAGGACAAAAAAGATAATTTGGCCAGGTCAGATCAGGACAAATTGGAAATGAGGCCATAAGCTTTGTTTCCCTGCTTTTTACAGGGTCTCTCTCAGTCTGCTGATTTTCATTGATTATTTAATATGCGTCGCCAATAGAATTCCATTATAGCTTGAAAGAAGAAACTACACATAAAAAGTAACAAGTTTCTGAGAAAAAGTAAAGATGAAGGAAACTCAATAGTCCAACTGCTTCAGAAAAACTTTGTACTGTACCCAGTGTGATAAATCATACCTAAATTTTGAAGATAAAACTAGCCAAGCATGAGATTCTCAATGTTTGCTCAGAGTCCTGCACTTGATCCACTAGATCACTTCCTGTTATTAAGTTTGGTATAAAAAAACACTTTAGACTGTAAGTGAAAACATTTTTGGCATGTGTGGATATACTCCATTCTAAGGTCATTGTATTAGTGCATTATCTTGTTGCCTATTGTTGACTTCACTTCATATCTAAGATTGCTTTAAACCAACCCATAAATTTTAGATATAAATCACTGACAGCATGAAAGAAAATCTAATGAAGCTGATGTAGGAATTTGCAGGCAGGCAATGATTCCTGAGCTGGGACCTCAGGGCCTGGCACAAGTCCCAGGGAAATGGCATTTTTGCCTCTTTAATCAATGCAGCCAGCAACAAAGACAATCAGTTATCTGGCCATTACCTTCTCACACAGGTAGCTGTCTGACTCTCATTTCTTTTCTTTCTTCCAAGTGAAGGGTTTTCATTTTCCACTTCAGTTTCGCTATCTTTAAGCCCTTATTTTTATGAATGTTACATTCATTCATTTCCTATAGGGTAGTGGTGGCAGTGGACCCCAACCTGTGACTAAGTCAGGTAGAAAATCACTTCTCTTCTTTTTACAGATTCCCTTTATTGAGTAGTCAGAACATTTTTTATTTTCTTTTTTACTTTCTAGTAAAATAAAAAAATATCTCTTGAAGTTCCTGATTTTGTCCACAGCTATATTCGTGTGCCTTGTGAGTCCCTGAGCTCAGTTTCTACCAAATTAACAAGTTCAATAAATTTCTCTGTGATGGTTACAGGTTGGCTGTTGGTAATAGTATTGCTTTCTCGCTAATAACGGTGCCTCTTGAATAAGAGATTATCTTATACATGTGCTGGTAGAGCTTATAATTACCAATCATGTATCTAACCAGATTTAATGTGATGGGTGTATCTGCAGTCAAGTGCATAATTTTCTATTTTTAAGCATCAAGCTTCTGATTTATCTGAGCTCCTGATTCACTTCTTTGAAAAGATTGATAATTTGGCACTTGCAGGTTCCATAGGAAATTCCTGCAGATTCATTGGCACACTGTCTTTGTGACTACCTCCACAGTGCACAGGCACTTTATTGGTTTTAATATTAAATAAGTTCTTTAATTAATGCATTTTGGATTCCTGAGGGTTTTTGTACTTACAAGAAGAGATGGTAACTGAAATTTTGCCATTCTGTATTTGTGTTCCTGAAGTATATGAAAAATTCAGACACTGGAAATGGAACTTATAATGGAAGTATATTTTATCCTATACTTTCTGAAAATCAGATCATGGTGGGAAAATGAGACAGAGTATAGGAGTTACCTCACATTGGTCAAGATGTAGAATAAGACAAGAAGCAGATACATCAAAGGAGGAAGTGTCCAAGGTCACTATGTGTGTGTGTGTGTGTGTGTGTGTGTGTGTGTGTGTCTGTGTCTGTGTTCCTCTCTCTCTGTGTATGTGTCTGTGTATATTTCTCTCTGTGTGTGTCTGTAACCACTCAGGGATTCATCGATCCCACCAGGAATCCACCCCCTATTCTTTCTCTGCACAACTTCTGACCTGTGTCAAAATGCTGCTCAGTCCCTCAGTGCCCTAAGGCTCAATTTTTTTGTCTCTACATGGTAATTCTATCTCAGTGCATACTGATCTCACTCCGTGTCTCTCACACAGTGATGCACAGCAGAGTCCTCAGGGTTACAGAGGGCAGCTGCTCAAAACATGCTGGGACCAGTGGGACTGGTCTTTGGAATTAAATGCAGTGTATTGGATTAAAGCCCCTAATAAACACAACCTTCAGCTGCTTGCTTGGTTTCCCAGGGTCCTGAGTTCCAATATCTGTATTTTACTTTTTAAATTATAGTATATGCCACTGATACATGCAGAATCACCTGAGAAAGGAGACTGCTATAAAATAAAACTAAATGTGTAAGGTCAGATTTATGGAAATCAGTTTAGAAAGGAAATTCTGAATAACGAAACTGGAGTATTTGTTCTTACGTAGTCTCCATTATTTAACTGATTTAAATAAGGGGGGTAGAGAGAGTGAGAGAAAAAGAGAAGTGGGGACAGAGAGAGGGGAGAGATTGTTTTTAGTGTAGCATGCTGTATTTTATGAATTCCTAGTTTCTAAAGTCCAAAAAGAAATTGCAGGCTGAAGTCCTGCTAGTGCTCTTGAGAAGAAAGTGTTCACTGAATCCCATTGGCTCTGTCTTGAGTTCATCCAGCTCTCTCCTCTCTCTCATCCCTGAGCTAAGGACTCCTAATGGGGATGGGGCTGAGCTTAGGAATCAGGTATTCTTACATTGCCAAGGTGAGGATTGGGCCATTTATTTTTCAGATTTATAAACGCAGACATGATAGATTTAATTTCCTACTCTGAAGCTTGTATTTCAGCATTTGACAACATCTCATCACAAGAATAAAAGTAGCAAATTCATTTTTGCATGATGTTCAATCGACTTTTTTTGTCTTTTGGAGACATGGTTCCACTATGCAGTTCAGGCTGGCTTTGGGCTCACTTTGTAGCCCAGGATGGTCTCACATTTACAATTAATCCTCCAGTCTCACACCCCAAGTGATACACAATAATGAGCCACCATGCGCAGTTAATTTGATATTTAAAAAAAATCACATTGCACAAATTTTTTTCCTTGAGATGGCAATGGATAACCATTACGTGAAATCCCTAAATAAAAGATGAATAAAGTAAGTACATATATATGTACATATGCAATTAATTTTAACCGAGAATATTTACTTCACCTCAGATAGGTCAAATATCATATGAAGGCTATGTATTTCAGGGTTTCCTCAGGTCACAGGGTGTTAAAGTAGAAAAAAATTCCTAGAGGCTAAATGAAAGCCCTCACATGCCAGCTTCCTTTCCTGCACCTGCTCCTGGAGCCCTGTTTCTTCCCCCATGGAATGTGCACCCCCTATGGTTCCAAGTCAGGAGAGTTTGGTATGAGCTCTCAATGATGTCCCCTCACTGTGTGCTGCAGCAATATGATACAGAGCCATGTCCCCATGTCTTAGGCTGCTCATTTGCAGGTACAGTGTGTTCTTGCCATTCTCTTGGGAGATGGTGAATCGGCCCTTCACGGAGTCTGAGTAGTGTATAAAGTACTATCATGATTGAGGTATGTGATTCACTCTAGCCCCTTTCCTGGAGTCTGGAGGAAACAGTGTAATCCACAGCTCCTGAACAGGAATCTAGAAGCTGCACAGGGGATTTCCTCGAAACACACAGGCTGCACCAAGCCTCCCCTGGACTCCAATAGCTGCTTCTCAGCCTGGACATCTGAAAACACAAGGACCTCCCAGACAGGAAACTGTCATACATGTCCACTGTTTATCCTAATCATGTCCACTTACCCTTCCCTTATCGCTTGTTGTCCATAATTTACCTTTCATAAGTGCAAACAGGAAAACACAAGTCAGACCCAAATCCATAGCGATTGTCTGTGCTCAGTCCTGATCTCTAAGTGGGAACCTCTGTTTATCCAGGGCTGGGCTGCTTAGCAGAGCTGCAGGTGAGGGCTGGGCTGGTTTTCATGAGCACAGGGAGGCCCTATTTGCATTTCTTCTTGCTGTATAAACAGAGTTGTGATTGGACCCTCAGACCAGACATTGTCCACAGCAGTTGTGAGTGCACTGAGTAAATCTGGTAACAAAGATGCATTCAAGAGAATCTGACAGCTCATGTGAGAGGGCTTTGTTGTCTTTTTAACTCTTCATCAGCCTTCATTTTTGTCCATATACTCAGATCATACTTTTTATATTAATGATGCTTGCTTTGTGAACATGTCAAATACTGAGTGCCATGAGCAGTTGTGTCCTCCACAAAGAATCTGACGCTGTGTGAATGTCATCCCCACTGTCTAGATCTTTGCTCTCCTTGTCAGTGAGCAGATTGATTCCTGCTCCAGCTCCTGGACATTCCTGTTGCAACTGGCAGACCCCTCTCCCAGTGGTGAGAATGTGTGTGCCTGTGCTGTGTTCTGGTCTTTTTTGAAAGAAAACAACATTAACATTCATGTGGCTCCTTTTAGTGAGTTTGTCAAAGTTACTTGTGATTATCTTCCTCTGTCTCAAATTTTTCTACCTCCTTTTTAAAAATTTTTGGTTGTTACTCATTTTTTTTATTTAAGGAGAAAAAGGAAAAAAACTGAAAAAGGTTACAAGTAATATAAAATTTAAAAAATAAACTATTATTTTCATTTAAAATCCTGTAATGTCATCTAGGAGAACATGACAGACAAATAACAGCAGCCACGGAGGCTCTCTGAGGTTACCAGCTTAGAATCCAGGAGTGGTGCCATGTGAGGAGTCCTATGGGAGGGGAGATGTACCTTGCCAACCCAGGAACAAAGTAAGCTGAGAGAAACCAACTGGAAATGCAATCCTGATGCTATAACAGGAACAGATAAAATCTCAGTGTGGAAGCTGGATCCCGTGCCA